AAATTTTTTTAAGAATTTTGCGAAATTTGACCCGGCCGGGTTATGAGAACCAATTTATTAAGTTTGTATGGCCTAATTTTTTTTTTTTTTTTTTTTTATAAATGTATAGCTATATAAAAAAGCATTCATGACTAGTGATTTATGAGATATGCACCACCAGACTGGAAAGGAGTAAATTTCTATTAGTATATTACTAATTTTTAATTTAAAATTAATGATCATATTTATAACATTTACTTCAATGGCTTCGATTTCATCGGGCGTTAGAACTCTTCTTTTATACCTCTCTGGTAACTCTAAATATTCTATAACACGGTTTGATTGAACTGATCTATTATTTACTATTGATCCTTGTGGTTGTGATGCTCTCTGGGAAGTCGAAGGTAAACTTGAGCCTTTTGGTGCAGCAGGGTGAGGCTTTGGAGTACTGTCTACTGGTTCTTCAGTAATATTGTAATTCAAAGTATTATTTAGTAAATTATTATAATTGTTAAAAAAAAAAAAAAATGAATTTTACCTTTGGGTAGCTTGTTCCTTGGACCAAGAAATTTAATAAGCGGCACATGTTTATGTAAAGCAAATCTTATTCTCGAAGGATTCATAATTTTTAATAAAAAGTTTGGGGGCTTTGGTTTTTGAGATTATCTTTATATTTGATATCCATGTAACACAGATTATGGAGTTGATGGAATAGATGGTCATTATCGATATCGTGTAACCGACTTTATATTGCATGTTACTTAATAAATTTGTACATAAGCGAAAGTACGGAGATGCTTAGCTACGAGTGTGAAACATGCAATATTTTGTTTAATTATATTTAAAAGGTTTAATTCTTGCATAGTCAACACTTTTATAGTCAAATTCTTGAGCCAGTTTTGAAACAAGGTAATTACCAACCAAATATTTTACCCAATAATATGAATATAATCGGAGGTGTCTATGGGTAAAATGGCGGAAATATTATAGTTAATAGCGATAACACGTCACCAGTTTATCAGATCTTAGTACATTAAATTATCGCAACATCTTTATGCAGTAAGAAAAGAGTCAGTGCACAAAATCTATTGTAGAATGCCGGAGATTTCCGTTTAGTTAAGATAATTTGTAATCAGGAAAATTGGAACAAGTTCATTGGTCGTTTCATCTGTTGAAAAAAAAGCAAGTTACATCACTGCACATTTTTGATGAGTATAGGTAAAGTGGCACGATCGATCTATATACATCAGATTTATCTTGCTGAGATGAATTAACGAGTGATGCCAAATAAAGAAAACTTAAATATAGATTACCATATGAGTGCCGCCAAGGGAAAATGTCCCTCTGTAAATTATAATATATTATTGATTATTATCTGATTCAGCCCTTC